TTCCCTAAAGGGGGAAGAAGGTATCCGGGCGAAAAGGGCTCTTTAAATTTTAAATCTTTTTGATCTTCAAAAAAAAAAAAAAAAGTGTGCATACTCGTGACTTTCTCTGTCAATATTTGAGGGGGTTTTTTAAAAAAAGGAAACAGTTACGTATGTTTTTCTTTCAGCTGTTGCTCTGTTAAGACTTATACAAACAAGGGAAATTCACTGGTGGAAAAACATTGAAGTTGGGGAAGTGTAAGATTTTGTTTTTAAGGCATGAAATAAGCAATCTTCAAAAAAGGTTTTTTTTCCCCCTAATTTTTCAGTAGCCTAGAAGTTACTTGTAATAATATCAGTTACTTTAAGTGCAGACTGACCTTTATAAATTGTTAGCATCCTTTAAATGTGAAGCTAGACTCTGAAAATTGTCTTTTAAAAATTTTATTGTGGAATTCCATCTTTGTCTGAGTTTGATTTCAGATTTGCTGAATTTATAGCTGTTAAGAAGACTGTTTATGCATAGCAGTTTAGATCATAGTTAATAATTTTGTTGATAAAAGAATCACACGTTAAAAGGGTGAACTGGAACTGCTTGAATTCTTTACATACAGGTGACAAATATCGAAACTTCCCTTAGCACCTGAATAAAGCCAAGTCCATCTGTAGCTACAGAATCCGATCTTGTATTTAAATGTTTCCCTACACCATGTACATGCAAATCTAACTTGCTTAATATAAACTGATGCTGAGGTGTTTTCCTCAGTTTGGAAATAGTGCATTCTAGTGTCACAGCTGTTCCTCTTAGCTTTGACAAGAAACATGAAATTAAAGTGAATCTGATTAGTTTCATGGTTGTTGTTCAGAACCCTTTAAGAAACTATGAAACCGATCAGATTCATGTCCATCTCTGGTGTTCGTGAAATCTTTTAACAGGAAAAGAGAGGCACTGAAGCTGTTACTGAAGCAGAACACCAAGGCTGTAGAAATTCTCATCTCTGCTTTACCAGCTAAGGCTGGTAAGATGGAAAAAGTATCAGAGAATTCCCTCTTGCAGAAGCTCTTGTAGGTAGTAGTACAGATTTTCACACACTAAAGTAGGAGATTATTAGCAGTATGGAGAAGTAAGGGTTTCATGTCCTTTCTTGGGAAATGAAGTTTCTAATTTGCTAATCAAAAGTCAGTGATACCAAAGAAGTTGTACCCAAGCAATTACTTAAGAATACTGCTTGTTAGGAATTTCACTGTCTTCCCTTTTCCTAGTAGCAAGGGGCGTGTTGTGGTGGTAGGGGTTGCCCCTGGATCTTACAGGCAGTCTTTGCTCTTTTTTTTAGCATGAGCTTTTGGCTAGTAAGCTTTACTTAGAAAGCACCTGCACCCCTGGCACCATTCCCTATGCGACTGCAGCCAATAAAGCAGGGGTTATATTGAAAGCACCTTTTATTCAACTGATTTATCCCCAGAGCAGACCATATTGTGCATTGAATGAGGCAGGTGTCCTGAGGAAAGAATAGTCTGTGTGCATGTAATTAATTACTGTATCAAAATGCCCATCCGTAGGGATGACTAAATCAGGCTTCCTCAGGCAAGTCCATTTCTGATATTTCCAGTCTTCTGTAGTCTTGTGACCTTTATTATTTTTGTGACCTTACAGCTTTTTCTGCATGTAATTATAATAGTAGTACAGTAGACTTTTAAAGTTGACGTTTGTTTTCTGTTGCATAGAAGATTCTATCCAAGTTGAGGAGATTTGGACACACTGTTTTGAGACTGGACTTCAACAAACTGCTAAAAGTGTTCTTAAAATTGGTCTCTGGTCTGTGTGTATTTTTATTGTTGCTGTTGGTTTTTTTCCTGTGTCACATTTTATGTTAAAAGCAGCTTGTCTCAAAAAGTTAAGTAAATTTAATCTAACAATCTGAAAATAGTTTACAAATCAGATTAATTAGAAAGGGATATTTGGGTAGGTATTCATGACTGGGTAAATAGCGAGCATAATGTCCCACTGTATCTTTTAAGAGGAAGTCGGAGAGCTGATGGAATTAATTAGTGTGGAAATGGAATACAATTTTTTGAAACCAGAAATGACAAAATGCTCATTTTTCATGTATGCCCTGTAAGTATTTTGAATAAAATACCTTTGTCTCATGCCAGTTGTCCACAGTTATTAACTGTACACTTCTGAAAACCCCCAGAACAAGCTCTTTGTTAAAGAAATGTATTAGAAATAAGATATGAAGAGGCAAAGACATGAAATGTGGGATATATCAGTAGTATTCTAGGGCAGAGTAGAGGTTATTCAAGTCATCTTAACTGAGAATTTTCAGTTGTCTTTTACTTTCCTCCATTGCCCCCTCCCCAACCCCCCATCTCTAAAAGTAGTTTTGGGACAAAGGTTTTTGTACTTGTGTCTTACTGATCTGTATCTTCAACGTACGTTAAATAAATATTATCTAAAAATTATATAACTATACTTTGAAGATTTGCCAGATTTTGCATGATCCCTTTGAGTCATTCTTTTTCCCTTTTAATTGGGTTGGGTTGTAATCAATGAATTTGGATACTGGAAAAATATTCAGAAACTATATCAAAAGTTTCATCCTCTCCTTTTTTGTATCATTATTATGATCATCAGTGAATCAAATCCATTTGTTATCCTTGAAAAAGGTCTTTACTATTTAGCTAAAAAATAGATTTTAAATTCTGAAGAGGGGGGCCATTATGATCAGTCAGTGTCTACATCTCTTCCTTGCTGTTTTTGTTAATGTTTAAAATATTAGTGTCATATCTTAAATACGTTGGTGGCAGAGCCACACAGACTTGAATGATTGAGTTCTGCTCAGTTGAAATTTGGAACTTGGCTGTTGGACTTTGCCCAGTAGAATTGAGAGCTGGTTTGGTCCGGGGAGGGGGGGGAGCAGAGTGGGGGAGGAGAAAGTTCATTCATAAGTAGATTCATAAGTGCTACTTCAAAGTGTGTTTATGGAGCACCTGTGATAAAACTTGATGCGTTTTAACTTTTTTTGAAACTGCTGCAATTCGTGATGAACTAAGTCTGTGCGTATCTGTAATCATTTGACTACTTGCTAAATTATGTTTATTTCAAGGTTAGTGTTTTGAAATTTGTCCCTCATTTGCATGTGCTCAGGCAGAGCAAGGTCTGACAGTAAGGAGAGGGGGAGGAAGGTGCTAGGGGCAGAGGGTAAAGGGACCACCTGACCCCCCCAGATTTATTTTCCCTACTGTAACTGTGGAATGGAGACAAACTCAAGACAAACCACCAATAATTAGATTGTATACCTGGAAATTATAAGAAATGCATACATTTTCCATACATAGATTCTAATTTTACTGGGGGGGGGGTCATCTGATATTCAT